TCCCCCTTCCTCCTCCTCGTCTACCCTTGCCCCCTCGCTCCTCCTCAATGAGCTCTGCGCAGGGACGAGAGCGAGGCGTACCTCAGAGTCTCATCGCCATGGCCGGCTGCGTCTCCTCCCCGCCTGCATCACAGGCATCTGCCCACCACCACCACCAACTCCTCCTCCTCCCTCCTCCTCCTCCTCCCTCCTCCTCCTCCTTCCTTTCTTTCACTTTTTCCTCTCCCATCCTCCTTTCTCCCTTCCCCCTCCAGCTGACAGCCGGGCAGGCGCCCAGGACAAGATGGACGATACTAATGTGATGGGAGGCTTTCGCTTTGTCCAGTCGATCCTCTCCGTCATCGCCATGACCTGCGGCCTTCCCCTCCATGCCCAGCACAATTCCCAGCTGTTGTCCTCCAAGACTCCGCCTGTCGACCAGCACCGCAACATGGCCCGGCTCATCCCTCCCCAGCTTGCCTCGCAGTACACGTCATGGCTGCAGGTAAGGGGCAGGAGGAAGGGAGGCGGGAGAGGGGGAGGAGGAGGAGGAGACAGGAGGGAAGGAGCAGGAGCAGGAGCAGGAGCAGGAGCAGGAGGTTCCGGGAATGATGATTTTTTGTGACACAGGTCATCTATAAGCCGTCAACTTGCGTCATGACGAGCGATCAGGTGATGTCGCGATTTCCGAGGGAGGAGTGAAATAGCTGGCGACATGGAAATGGGAGGAGGAAGTGGCGGTGTTGTGACAGCGGCGATGAAAGACGAGGAGGGAGCGTAGCAGGAGCAGGAGCAGGAGCAGGAGCAGGAGCAGGAGCAGGAGGGGCTGGGGTAAGCTGTCATGTTACAGAGAGGGGATGAGAAGAAGCGGGCAGGAAGCTTGTCAAAGTGTGGAGGGGAGGAAGGGAACTGACCGAGTCTGCCGGGCCATCAGACCATCTCCTACGTCAAGCGGTACATCCTCGGGGCCAGGTTCCGCCTAGAGAACAACAGGGTCGTCTCCGGAGGAGAGCTCCAGCTCTGCAGCACGCAGGCTGTCAGAGCAGAGAAGCAGGAGGGGGGAGCGCAGACAGCGATAAGGGCAAGGCGAACCATGGCCCGCGGGTTGATAGCAAGAAGGCCAGGTCGAGCCCGGCTGGACGCCGTGCTGGGCTAGTCGCTCTGACGCTGCTGACCTTCCAGGGACCTCGTGCGGGCCTGCATGAACGACACCGTTGTGCTGTATGAGGACCACGACGTCGACGGAACCGACATGTCCGTGGGCTCCTTCTTGCACCTCCCGGTCAGCTGCCTGCCTAGCTGATGCGGATGTTTGCGGGCTGTGTGTGGTGGATGCCTCTCCGTGCCCCTGCCTGCTGTCCTCCTGCTAGCATCCTTCACTTCCACGCACTTGTCGCCCCCCTGCCCCTGCCCCTGCCCCTGCCCTTGCTCCTATTCCCCGTTGGATTTCCTCCCTCTTCAACAACACCCCTCCTCCCTCAACTGTGTCTTCTTCTCCTCCTCCTCCTCAGGATTGTGACGCTAAGCGGAGCAGAGCTCAAGGTCTGGTTCCCTTCAGTTGTGCCTCAAGGAATGCTGGCTGAACTCAGCCTGCACCTCCCTTTGCATACGAGATCGAGGTGAATCTCTCTACCTCCTGCTCCCTATCCTCCTCCTGCTCGTCCCCC